ATGCGCTCCGGAGGAGGTCTCCATGTTTACGCTCTGTGTAGGGTTCTCACAGCAGGACCCCGATTCTTCCACGCCAAGGGCTCCTGACAGCGTTTCCCCGCTCCATGCCGCTTTCCAAACATCTTGAGAGCAACCAAGACCCATTCCCACACACGCACAGGCTGGCTTAGAAGGCTAGCCACAGTGGCAAGCAGCGCTACATCAAAGGCTGCGGCTTTACGCAACTTCCACGCTCAGGTGCAGTCTACCTCTCCCTGAACAGAGATATCTACTAGCAACAAACCAGCAAAGTTCAGCCCCTGTGGGCTCTTTCTTCAGAGCATTTCAGAGAAGCACGGCTGGACAGAGAATACTGAGCCAGGTGGATCTTTTGTCTGTTCCAGGAAGGAAGGATCTTAGCAAGCGCTTGCTGGGTTGGCCGTCAGTGGACGGATCAGGACGTTGCTGGGCAGGGGACGGGGTGGGGTTGGGCAGTGGGAAGAGGGACAAGCCGATAGACAGAAAGAAGCCGAGTACCCAGCTTTTCAGCAATCCTCTTCCGGCTCATTTCCACGGCCTCCTGTCTCAGCTGCAAGGCGTGCTGGGCGATTTCGTCGCTAGCCACGTTGGAGGTCATGATGAAGATGGCGTCTTTGCAGTCAATGGTCTTTCCCTTCCCGTCTGTCAGCCTGCCCTTCAGAGGAAACACGCAGTAACAACAACAACAACAACAACACNCAGCCTCTTGTCTCTCTCTGCCCACCCTGCCTGCAAATGTCGCCGGAAGCCCCTGCGCCCAGCAGAACGCCACACATCTGGCGTCGGTTGTTTGGGATTAACATTTCGGGTGCTGCTCTGCCAGGCAGGCAGTTCAGGAATTGATTTCACATTTAGTGACTGCCACTGTGATCTATGCAAGAAAAATGACAGCATTATTAATCCTTGGAAGGAAAAAGAAAAAGGAACGGAAAGGAAACACCACCAAACATGAGCCAGCCGACGCTTCCGACCGAATGTCCAAAGCGGAGGATGGAAGCAGCAGGGCCGTGAAATCTGTACGGGCTCAGCCCTCCCCAAGAGATAAACAGTCGTACGTGACTGGTTCAGACTGGAGGTGCTTCTTTCTCAGCTTTCCGGCAGACATGATCTGATGCCTGATATGCAATTGATCAAGTGGCAAACGGAGGCAGAAAAAATGGGGACCCAGGAAGCAAAGAGGAATATGTGTGTGTGTGTGTGTGTGTGTGTGTGTGTGTGTGTGTGTGTGTGTGTGTGTGTGTGTGTGTGTGTGTGTGTGTGTGTGTGTGTGTGCGCGCGCACACACACACACATCCATCCTGGGGCGCTCAGGTGTAAAAAGAGCAAAACAGGGCAAGTTCCTAGCTCTCTGTAGAGGGTGTTGGTTGCTCTGCAAAAACCAATGCACTAGAGACACACCTGAAAGAGAGCCTCCAGCTGCCAGGAGATGGGGCTTACATCTTTACCAAGCCTAACACCCCCACCTCCCCACAAGGAACAGAAACAAAGAAGACAAATTTGGCTGTGCATCTTCTTAAAAGCTGCCTGATTTAACCAAGGAAACACAAACCCTTCTAAATTCATACAAAATTCCTAGATATTACTGGGGGCAGTGATTAGGGGAAAAAAATTTTTTTTGTAGATGCGAAGTGTTTGTTTAACACACCTGGAGGACACAACTGTGTGAGAGGGCAGGGCTGGGCCAAAGCACATTGACCAGTGCTACCGGACGGTCCATTTGACATCCAACAGACAACGGCACGAGACCGTGGGTATCACAAACTCCACATGCATGTGTTTCATGCACAGCGTCGGGATCCTGGTTTCCAGAGAGAACCAAGGGAGCCACGGAGCTGTACAGACATCATCCTCTCTCCTTTCCACCATTATGCTGAATGTAGAGACGCAGGCCATGTTGCGGCACAAGCTCTTTGGGCTAAGGGGTGTGAGTCTGCTGCCTCCTCCAGAGGCTAGACCTAGGCATTGGGGGTAGGCAGGGATTGGAGTGGAAGGTCTTATACCTCATCAAACAGCTGCAACATGATGGTGAGGACATCGGGGTGGGCTTTGTCCACTTCGTCAAAGAGGACCACGGCATTTGGACACTGCTTCAGCTTCTTGGTGAGTTGCCCACCTTCCTCGTGGCCAACGTAGCCCGGGGGAGAGCCAATAAACTTGGCTACCTGGAAGACAAAGAGACTGCTGAAGGGGTGGCGTGGTATTGTCCTTGGAAAACCTGCCGTGGTTTGAAGTGGGATGGCCTGCCTGGGGAATTTCGGCATCTGGTTTCCATTCACGGGCAACACCCAAGCAGCCAGACTAAGAGGACACGCTCCGGGCGGTTTGCCATGGAGGAAATGTAACGGCCGAGCCAGCAGCAGAAGAACGCAGATTAGGCCAATCCACACCCACCTGCTTCTATTGTGGATTATATTTGGACCCCAATTGACTTCTAAAGAATGGCCAAGTTTCCCCTTTTCTAGTGAGAGCATAAGAAATGAAAACTGGACAAAAATGTTTCACTCTCGTTGTGGGAAAAGAATCAACAAAGCTTGGGTGGGCAGATCCCCAGGTTTGAAATTCCAGAGGATTTTTTTTGGGGGGGGGTGCTGCCAAGGAAAATGCCCCACTCCGTAGCCCATTCATCTTGTATCTGAGCTGGAAGGAGATGGGAAATGAAAGATTCCTTCCTTCTGATCTGGGGTGGTGGTGGGGGCAGCGGGATAATTACATGGGAGGTAAATGCTTCATTCAGTACATTGTGTACAGGCTAGGTATTATTTCAACAGGTGTGGCGAGAGGGAGAAAGCGGATGAGGTGGAAAGAGCTTGGTCCCGAGGGGTCTGGAGCAGGAAAGGGGGTGATGCCTGCTGAGGGAAGGGGCTCTTGTGGGATCTGCCAGAGGCTGGTCATGGGAACGGTAAGGTGTCTGTCCTGTGAGAGTAGAGCATCGGCCTCTCTTACCAACCTCATGCCTTTCCTGAAACTCTGACATGTCCAGCCTGATGAATCCCTGTAAGCAGAGAGAGAAAAGAATCCATCAGTCCTCTAGGGAAAGTTCAGAGGGGACCCTCCTACGAGGGAAGAGAAAGCAGCAGCTGCTTTCTGCAGGGAAAAACAGGGTTTGCTAGAGACGGTGAGAGCGACAAGGAGCGGCCGCCAATCCTGGACGTCTCCACCGAGGACACTTCCCCAAGACCTGCAACATGCAAATTCTGCTTTGTTGCAGCTTCCCTTCAGATTTTTATCCACATGCTTTAAACATGCCAGAGGCAGGAGAGGTAAAGTTGCACCGTGTGGCATCAAAGGGGGTCCCAGGTGGGACCTCTGGCTAGGGCCTGGAAAACCCCACTGCCCTGAACCCCACTGCTGCCAGCCCGTGCCAACAATGCTGGACATGATGGTGGTAGTGGTCTGGTTAAAGCTAAGGCAGCTTCGACCGCAGGGGTGGGGTCCCTCCCAAATAGCGACCTGGCAGATGTGTCCGGTTTGAAAAGCACGGCTCAGCAGAGGTTCTTTGTGACCCAGTTTTTCTGAGACAACGAGGTGCGAGGGCCACACCTTACTTAAAGGGAGAACTCTACACCACCGCCACCCCCAGAGTTTCTGGAGATGCGATTCTCCATCTTTTTTTCCCCAAACAAAAACATATCCCTGTGGAGGGAAATGTACGAAGAGGTTAAAATTTACTGAGTACCCCCCCGCCTCCATACTTTTAACCTCTGAAAAGCTGTGGTTTAATTGCAACAGACGACATTTCCTGGGTTTGGGAGATGCAACCTTGCCAGCACTGGAATGAAATGGCAAGCAATAAGGCTCTTGTGCTAAGCGTGGCTGCTCCCATTATTATCATTATTCTTGAGGCACAGGAGAGAGACATTTGCAACAGGCGACCCCCCCCCAGCTGGAAAAATACAAGCCAGCAGAAAGGCCGCTTGCATCCCTCCCAGAATGAAGAATGCCACAGGGTTTCCCTCAAATTCTTCCAAGAGATTAGGCCGCCCTCTGGCTCCAGTCTCAGTGGCAGGTAAGGGAAAGACTTCCAAGGCATCCTTACCTGGACACTGCACACCTGCTGGAAACTTTTAAATACCAATTTTGTTGCACAATTTTTCTGCACAAACCAAAGTACTGTACTAAACCTCACACGGCTGGAAACTTTTAAGTACCACTCTTGTTGCACAATTTTCTGCACAAACCAAAGTACTGTACTAAACCTCACACAAAGACTCGACCAAGCACACTCCATTCTACTGTTATTCAAACCCCAAAGATCAGCACTTCCAGAGATTCAAGAATTAAACAAGCTGGTAGGAAAAGAAAACGAGGGTCTCTGACACTTGGTCAAGAGAACGCCCTTCCCAGAGGCCTCATCCTCTTTTATAAGAAAAAAACGCACACGGAGCACTCCCAGGCTTTGTCTTGAAAAAAAGAGAGGCCAATATATCCTTCCGTGTGACTCCTATCTAGCTTTCCCTCCCCAGTTTTCTGCCTTTTAACGTGTACCTTGCGAACAACGATCCGGGGTACAAAAAGGAGTAAACAATGGTGAAAACACCAAGAAAAGGCAAAAGCGGAAACAAGATGTTTGTCCAAAACAAAAGTGGTGGAGCTGAAGATCAACTTTTCAGCTGGCACCGAAGCGAAATCTCTGCTGTGGTGGATGTGTGCCATTCTTTCTCAATGCTTTTTTCCCCCACATTCTGGGCCTTTCACATCTCTCCTTGGTGCATTAATTAAATAAATAACCACCAAACTGATTAGGGACTAATAAACCGCCTGTTTTGAGCATGCCTTTGAATTAGCTTTGTCCTTGGCCACTGGGATATTTGACATGGAGCCAATCCTGTGGGAATCAGGACCAAAGCAGATAGGAAATACGACGAGAGGATGGTTTTTTTGCTTTGGAGACTTGCATGGGCAGAGGACGGTAGAACTGAAGCAAAGGAGCCTAAAGAAGCTGCGATGGATGCCCCATGGATAGAGCACTCCCGGGATAGTTTCATGGGACCCCATTCAGAACGGGTTTTGGGGAGTCCCTGTGACAGGCCCTCTGAGCATAAACCAGCAGCGGTCTACGGTCCTGTTCAAAGGTCTTTGCAACCTGACTGTTAAGTCTTATCAGTTCCTTCTCAAGGGCTTAGGTTTGTCCAGAAGGAAGTTCCTTGTAAAGGATCCCAAAAGGACGCTTTCCCTGCTTCGGCCAGCAGCTGAGACTCTCCAAAACTCTGCTGTCTTGACCCTCTCCAGGGGAATCATTTCAGAGCAGTTTATAGGAAGAAAGAATTACGTACATGGGAACCCGCTCTATGCCTCTGTGGATCCCTGCTCTTCCCTACATGGGAGTCAGGGGAGAATAAAACGGTTCATGGCAAGAGCAAGGCAGAGACCTCACCTTCTTGACATCTTTGTGCAGGTACTTGGCAGTCTGCTTGGCCAGCTCAGTTTTACCTGTTTAAAAAAAACCACAAGATGTTAAGCAGGAACATCCTAGAAGAAGCATTTTGCCCAAAGCACTCACCGCCTTCTGTCCCCGCAAGGTCCCTCCCTCCCATACAGCCTGCCAGGGAATAGGAGCCTTGAGCCACGTAAGGGAGTGGCCAGGATTGGGCTGGTCCTAAGAAGACCAGTACTGAAACTGATCCCGTAAGGCTGATGATGCCCACATGGGCGGGAGCTGTTGTGTGGGCTTCGCAGCCTCTCATTTCTGCTGCAGGAAGATGCTGTGGTTGCAGCGGCTGCTACTGCTGCTGAAGAAGGTCTGGTTTGTTTTGTTAAACTGCATTCAAAAACAGAAGGCCCCATGGCACAACCCCCCAAATTTTGGATGGTTTCTAATGCCCTATCTAGAAAATCAGTGTAGTAGAGGAAGGGGTACCCTTAGTAAACCACCTGACGAGAAAGCTAATACTTTCCAGAATATTGGACTAGAATTCAGGACAGTGGGTTCAAATCCCCTGTGGCTAAGAGATCTCACTGGGGACTGACTGGCATGTGGCAATTCACTTCGTTTGTTATAAGCTTCAGGCTGCATTGTTGCTTGCAATTCGCGTCTCTTGGAGCTTGCTGTCTGTGTGTTGCTTATTTGTTTTATTTAATTCATGCTTAGGGTACTTTCATTCTATTGTAAACCGCCTAGGGTACTGCCCTGCACTAACGGGGCGGTATATAAATATAAGAAACAAATGAAAACAACAACAGCCCAGTTCTTGAACACCTCAAATATCTTTAAAAACCCTAGTCAACATAAGTAAGGAGTTGTTTCGACAGCACGTGGAAACAGCTATCTGGAAGTTTGTGTGAGTGTGCAGGCAAAAGAGACAGAGAGATTGCTGGCTTACTGGCTTTTAGATACAATTCTGCCACACCTACGTAGATGTCAAAGATCTCCTGCGATGGAAATATTAGCTTTGTAACAGAAACCTAGTTCTTTAAAAAAAGCAAGCTCTAAAAGAAGGCAATCCACTCAACAAGTTAATAATAAAGTTTCGAGGGTTTTGCTCAGAATAGTAATTGGCAAGCCAGACGACCATCAGCGCTGGTCTTGGCAATCAACACAGGTTTTCTCCAAGCCAACGTCTAAGCTTTGAGAGCTGATTCCCTGGAAAATGTAGTATTCTCTGTTTACGAGCAGTTTATATGCAACACTTGAGTTACAGAGGTCTAGGCAATTTCCAACTCAAAATGCGTATAATGAAATAGATTCATGTCAACATGGCATCAACCATCACGCTTGCCCAAGGCTTGTGGATGGTGGCAGCTGCCCTCCGGTCAGGAGACATCCCAGAGTCCTACAGACCTAAAGCAGCCAGAGATCTATGGGGTCTTTATGCTTAATACTTCCGAATACCTCCCCAAACTGCCCTCCTATTTCTGTGCCTAAAAGTTTTGACCATACGGATGATTGCTCACCTAAATTTCTGTGGCTCCTCCCACTAGTCTAATTCCTGAGAGGATAATCCAAACAGAGACCAAGCTGAACCATAGTTTGCTCAAAGCACACCGACCCTGTTGGCTGAGACATTCTGGAAGCTGAAGTCAGGAAAACGGGAATTCATAGAAATCATAGAAAAGTCACAGCATGTTAAAAAGCAGAGACATCACCTGGCTACAAGGCCATCCAGTCCAACCCCCTGCTCGGGGCAGGAATACAACTCAAAGAGGATCAGACAGGTGGTCATCTAAGTTTCTCTTGAGGGCCTCCAGGGTTGGAGCCCTCACCCACTCCCTTTGAGGTCACGGGTTCCGCTGTCATACTGCTCTAACAGTTTGCAAATGTTTCCTGATATTCAACCAAAATCTGGCTTCCTTTAACTTGAGCCAATTGTTGCGTATTCTGCACTCTAGGATGATCGAGAACAGGTCCCGCCCCTCCTTTGTAGGACAGCCTTTCAATTATTTGAAAAGTGCTATCCTATCTCCCCTCAGTCTTCTTTTCTCAAAGCTAAACATGCCCAGTTCTTTCAGTCTTTTCTCATAGGGCTTGGTTTCCAGTCCCCTGAACATCCTTGTTGCCCTCCTCTGAACGTGCTCCAGTTTGTTGACGTCCTTCTTAAATGGTGGTGTGCAGAACTGGACTCAGTATTCAAGATGAGCCCTAACCAGTACTGAATAGAGGGGAATTAGCACTTTGCAGGATTTGGAGACTATACTTCTCTTAATGCATCCTAAAGTAGCATTGGCCTTTTTTGCAGCCACATCACACATTTGGCTCATATTCAGCTTTTGATCTATAACAATTCCCCCACCCCCTCCCTATCGTCCTTGTCGCCCTCCTCTCTGCTCTTTATTAGGTATTTCCGGTGCTCTTTCCAGCTTTCTTTTGTGACCAAGATGCTTCTGTTTAAATAATAATAAAAATCCAAAGAGATTCCTGGATGTGGATTTGACAGCCTGGTACCAAACTCTGCACTTGTACAATGAGACCAGGAAGGCCCAGACAAAACACACAAGATCCAAAGGGCCTCTATCTGCCAGCTCAACCACAGAAAAATGTGTGGGAGGCAATACAATTTCAGGACTTCAGAAAGGATTCGTCCACCAAGGTTTTTAAGTGTTTTGAAGCAGTTAATTGGCCAGTGGTTATGCCTTCTTCTTTACATGTATTCTACCTAAAGACTCTTGTTTCGTTTGGCCTCAGCCTCCATGTGGATAATGGACAAATCAAAATTGTTAAAAGATCTGTTCTGTTCCAGTCTCATCATCAATCTAAACAGAGACTGCAGCATCCAAGGAATCGAAAGAAGAGTGAGATTCAGGAGGATGACAATGAAGGAACTAGAAGAAAGAAAGAAAAAGAAAGAAAGAAAGAAAGAAAGAAAGAAAGAAAGAAAGAAAGAAAGAAAGAAAGAAAGAAAGAAAGAAAGAAAGAAAGAAAGAAAGAGTCTGTTGCTGAGGATGTGTCTCTGGAGACCAAGACCAAAACCACCCGCACTCTTGTATTCCTGGTGACTCAATATGGGTACGAAAGCTGGACACTGAAGATAGCTGGCAAGAAAAGAATAACCACATTTCAAACAACTAATTAGAGGGCAGCTTAATGGATACCTTGAAGTGCTAGGGGAAAAAAAGAGATCAGGCCTGAACACTCATTAAAAGCTAAAATGGGCACATCATGAGAAGACAAGGTTCAATGGAACAGAAAACGAAGGATGGGAAAAGTCGAAGACGGTAGGAAAAGGGGAAGACAAAACACGAGATGGATTGACACCCTAGAGGAAGCCACAACCTTGAATTTACAAAGAGTAGAGCAGGGTGGTTGAGGACAGGACACGTTGGAGATCATTCCATCACAGCAATGCAGTACGTCAGAAATGCACGGACAACAGCAAGGGTTGTTGTTGTTGTTGTTTTTAATTGCTGCTTTACTCTTCAACTCAAAACCCATGAAAGCTAGTTTTGAGACTCTTGGTTGTTCTTGGTGCAAAACACTATCCTGGATAACCCTGTGGAGGTTTTCCAATTTTTGTACTTGTCCTGGCTGGCATGATGGATTTTTGGAAACGGCTGAGCCTACAGGAATGACTGTGTGACTCTTGTCTTCCTTCTTCGGTATGGAAACAAACGTGTCATGAGGACCCGCAAGCTGCTTGGGTGGCAGTGGGAGACACGCCAGGGAGACTGGAAAACCAGCCTCCGGCGGGCATGCCCAAGGGCTTGAAGGCTGGCCCACCAGCCTGGACGGAACGTAAATGGCCTCCCCTTGACCACACACGAAACAAGGAAAAGGGGTCTTATCCGAAGCAGGATTCGGATCGCCCCGCAGGGCTGTAAGACAGCAGGCCGACTTTTTTTTACCTATTCCGGATGATCCCAAGAAGAGGAAAACCAGCGGGTGCTCTTCGTCGTACCAACCATTTTCCTTCCTCCGGATGGCTGCAACCGAAACGCCAACAAAAACAAAGGAAGGAGTTATATATCTGGGCACATGAAAAAAAAAAAAAAAGAACAACGGAAAAGCATATAAATCAATGACACAACAGCAAGTATAATTATCACTAAGTATACACTATGTTTTACTGCTCTCTGCCCACTCAAAGTCCTCACTACCATTAGAGCTACCTAATTTGATTAGCCAGTAAGGCCCCCAGAGAGACCTAATCAGGTTAGCATGGATTTGGAGCGATGCCCAGAGCAGATTTCGGATAAAGTTTTCCAGGATGTGCACTCAGGGTTGCCAGGGAAACAAGGAGGGAGGATGGACACTGAATGAACCAGAGAGGGACCCGTCCACCCCTGGACTGGGAGGGAGGCACAAAAGGGAGCGCGTGAGGTGTGTGTGTGCGCGCGTGTGTGTGGGGGGAAGAAGATGCAGGAGGCTGAATAGCTCTTCCGCTGGCAAGCGCCCTCTCTGTCTACAAAGACCTGGCGAGGAGACAGGGGCTCCCTCTTTTTTACTGACGGGAAGGAAGGCTGCCATTCAAGGTCACGGCTGCCTCGCACGGATGGGAAAGGGAAGGATAGCACAGGAAGCACCAGGGAGATGCAGGGTTGGTCTCGGCAGGCCGAAGACCATCCTTTAACCCTAGGGTACACGCAGCCGCTCTTCGACGGCTTGCTGCGATGGGGACACCAGCCCCGAAAGGGCCGAAGGGCTTCTAGGCACCAACCGCATCCTAGTGCTGCCATCAGAGCTCAGAAGAACTAATGGGTCTGCCACTCCCGGTCATACTAGGTAGCTGGTCGATTTTGAGAGCCGTAGTCTAGGAGAGCAGACATGTCCAAACTCTTCTTTGCAACTTTCCATTAGGGGATGCACAGTGTAATCCCACTCCCTCCCTCCGCCCACGTCCCCGCGAGGAGACCTCTGTGCTTTCCAAAGAAGCAGAAGTGCTCAAAAGATGCAAATGCTCAAAAGATGGCCTTAGCCATTCCTGCCTTTCTTTCATCATCCTTCATCAAAAGCCAATCTAATGAGCCTGAACACACCAACTCACATCCTGAGGGAGGGAGGGAGGAAGGAAGGAAGG